GGGATGCATTGTGTGAATCTGTGTTTGTATGTGTAAGGGATGCAAGGTGATTTTCTGTGTATGTAATGTAATGCAGTGTGTGCCTGTAAGGGGTGCATTCAGTGTGTGTAAGAGATGCATTAAGAGAAGCAGTGTGTGTGTGTGTGTGTGTGTGTGTGTGTGTGTGTGTGTGTAAGGGATGCATTGTGTGCTTCTGTGTATGTGTGCAAGGGCTGCATGGGAGTAGGGATGCATTCTGTGCATGTGTGTTTCTGTGTATGTGTAAGGAAGCATTGTGTATGTGTGTAGTGTGAAAGAGAGGGTTTGTGGGGTAGGATAGGGGCTGAGAGGGAAGCAGTTCTTTATTTTTATTATTATATTTATTTTTTTAATATCATTTTTTTGGGTATATATTTTCTTTAAGTTTTGTGTCTTACACTCTCCTTTAGTGTCGCTTACAAGCCCCTTTTGTGTCTCTTACCAACCCACCCTTTGTATGTCTCCTACATCCTCCCAACCCATTTGCATGTCTTACTCCCCCAAACCCCTTTGTGTCTTACTCTTCCCAGCTCCTTGGTGTGTCTCTTTTCCCCCCAGGCCCCTCTGTGTGTCTCTCTCCTGAGCCCCTCTGTGTGTCTCTTTCTTCCCTACCAGCCCTTCTGTGCTTCTCTTTCACCCCTTCCTCAGCCTCTCTGTGTGTCTTACACTTCCCTCCCAATGTTCTCTTCCACTTCCCCCGTTCCTAAGTTGTCTCAATTCCATTTCTCCCCCTATGTCTTAGAGGTCTCCCGTCCTGTCCCTTAGAACTCTCCCCTCCCCTCCTGTCCCTTAGTGTTCTCCCCTCCTGTCCCTTAGTGCTCTTCCCTCCTGTCCCTTAGTGCTCTCCCCTCCTCTCCTGTCCCTTAGTGCTCTCCCAACCCCTCCTGTCCCTTAGTGCTCTCCCATCCCTTAGTGATCTCTCCTCCCCACCTGTCGCTTAGTGCTCCTCCCTGCTCCCCTGTTGCTTAGTCCTCTCCCCTGCCCTCCTGTCCCTTAGTCCTCTACCCTGCCCCCTGTCCCTTAGTGCTCTCCCTGCCCCTCCTTCCCATAGTGCTCTCCTCTGCACCCCTCTTTCCATAGTGCTCTCCCTTCCCCCTGTCCCTTAGAGTTCTCCCCCCTCCCCCATCTTTCCATTAGTGGTCTCTCCTCTCCCCCCATATTTGCCTTAGTGGCCTCTCCTCGCTCCTCACCCCATTGTTTCCTTAGTGGTCTCTCCTTGCTCTCCACATTTCCCTTAGTGGTCTCTCCCTCCCCCACATTTCCATTAGTGACTTCTCCTCCCCCTCATCTTCCCCTTAGATGTCTCTCCACTCCCCCCCAGTGTCCCTTAGTGGTCTCTCCTCCCCTCACCTTTCCCTTAGTGGCCACTCCTCCCCCTCATCTTTCCCTTAGTGGTCTCCCCCCCACCTTTCCTTTAGTGGTCTTTCCTCCCCCATCTTTCCCTTAGTGGCCTCTCCTTCCCCCTACCTTTCCTTTATTGGTCTCTCCTCCTCCCCAGTGACCCTTAGTGGTCTCTCCTCCCCCCAATGACCCTTAGTGGTCTCCCCCGCCCCCATCTTTCCCTTAGTGGTCTCTCACCCCCCAGTGTTCTTTCGTGGTTTCTCCCCAGTGTCCCTTATGGGTCTCTCCCGCCCAGGGTGCCCTTAGTAGTCTCTCCCCAGTGTCTGTCTCCTCCCCAGTGTTCCTTAGTAGTCTCTCGTACCCCCCCCCAATGTCCCTTAGTCGTCTCTCCTCCCCCCAGTGTCCCTTAGTGCCATATGCCATCCCTTCCCTGTTGTGCCTCCTACCTCTTTGCATCATGGCCGGGTGGCGCAGACCGCGGTACAGGAGCTTCTGTTTCCTGTACCTAGCCAGACTGACATTAAGAGAGCACTATCTTTCAGTCTGGCCAGGTACAGGAAGCTCCTGTACCGCGGTCCACGCTGCCCGGCCACGCTACATTAAGTGACTGGCAGACGGGAGCGCTGTGCACTCCCTCCTGCCGGGTCACTCCAATCTTGCTCCCCCCGGGCCGGTGCGCCCTAGGCGACTGCCTAAGTCGCCTAAAGGACACGCCGGTCCTGATGACAAGGTACAGTTTTGAACTAACAGAAGGCAAGAAAGGTCCTTTACAGTGGAGCATCTCCAAATCTCTTCCTGAAATGTTGAACAGAAGCTCAAAAGCTGTACTAGGAAAGCTGGTGATATGTCCTCTAGGTAGCATTTCTGTAGCTGTGAAGCAGCTTTGAACAAATCATTATCAGTTTCAGAAGCAAGTAATGTAGGCTGAATTATATTTAATCTTTGCATGACATTGCTCATTCCTTCAAATCGGTTAGACAGCTGATTGATCACAATGTCTAAACACTTAGAAAAGACAGTGGTTTTAAAACATTGTTCAGGAACTGGCAACCTTTCATCTACTGAAAGTTCATCAAAGTGACGCTTCACTTTTCTTACTCTCTTATTTTCGAACTGAGTCTGGATGGCTCACTTTTCTGCCAGCTCTTTCGCTGTCTGTTTTGCTGCATCAAAATTATCTCTATATTTTACAAAGGCTTCAGCTGCATTTTGTATCAGATGTGCTGCACTGGATAAATCCAGATTTTTTGACTGCAACAATTTAGAGACCACATTTATGGTGTCCAAAATCTTGATTTGCAGGACAAAAAGATAAACAAATTAAAAAGGTGAGCAGCATCATCTCTTTCTTTAGGCTTGGGTAACATCAGGTTTATTTTTGTTATAGCTTGCATAATGTCTACAAACTAAAGTGTAGAACAAGCAGTGAATCATGGCAAGATGACCACCGAGCGGGGCAACATTTTTTCATTTTAAGTGCGGAGTCTGAAGAGAATGATGAAAGAAAGTTCCACCTGCGTATGCTTTCTCCCAAAAAAATTCCTGCACCACTTCAAATAAACTAGACATTTCTGGTATGTTACCAACAGCATTCTGAAGTACCAGGTTCAGATTGTGAGCTGCACCATGTACATACAAGGCATTTTCTTCTCTCTGTGCAATTTGAGCCAGCACACCAGAATACACCCCCCTCATTGTCACTGCACCTTCATACCCCTGACCACAACATTTTGTTATATTGAGGTTGTTGCTCTCTATGCAAGAGACAATGTAATTTCAAGGCCTGCAGCACTCTGGTCTTCGATTGCATGAAACCCTAGGAAAACCTCTTTGATCTCAACACTAGTTGCTCTCTGGCTTTCATCTCTTTTCACAGAAACATTACTGAATATTTGACTCTGTAACGGAACTCCCCGTACTCCGACTGAGTACCTTCCGTTGATGGGCACTTCCTAGCCTATGCCGAGGATCACAAGCACAGCACCAGACACCACAACCACCGCAGACTCCACAACCGCCATAGCTTAACTGGAGTCTCGCTGTCTTCTGTCCACCCTGGATCAGCTTCTCTCCTCCAGGACTGTGTGGGGAAGACCGAATCCTCCAGGAGAGCGTATCAGGAACAAGCTCTTAAAAGAGCTACGTGATTAAAGCTCAAGGGAGTATGCAGATCATAGCAATCCCCAGTGTGATTATAGCAGTTCCCTCCAATAACGAGACAAGGCTATGTTTTGAAGGGTAAAGAAGAACTGTGTTCAATTAGCACCAAAGTGCCTTCTTTTATGGAGGTCTTACACATACAGGACCGCCCACAGGGTTTTTCAGAAGAACCAATAAAAAACATTACAACACGTACCATAAAGTAAACCACTCCCAGCTGAAATCCTCCGCTCTGCCTGTGATGCAATTATCTCCAGACAATAGACTAACTTAATTATCACAGGCAGAAAAAACCTGTTTATTATAAAAATTATCACAGGGACCCCAAAACATGCAATAACCCCATAAAAAATTTACCACATATCCAAAATTCACCCAGATCCATTCAGTAATTTGGAAGATACGGATTAATGCTGATTCCGCAGAACATATACAGGCTATATGAAAAATAATTACTGTTAAATTTGTCCCCTATTCTGTAGTTTAAAACTACTGAATGATGTCTTTGTGCACCAAATACCGGCGAGATAGCACTGTGTAGAAAAGTCAAAACAGTGTCTGTGAGTTAAAATGGCCACCATCCATTGTTCTCACCATGTGCTTCATCCATTGTTCTCACCATGTGCCTCTGATACATGAAATGGTGGCCACCCAGGAACTCCACAGTTTGTCTGGTAGTCTATCCAGCTGAACCAACAGATGAAACACATGGAGAACAGTGCAACAAATGAAGGGAATCATAAAAATATGGACAATGGTCATATAGACAATCTCCAGTTTTGTCACAGGGCCAAATAGTGTTTTCAAATGCCATATATCCCAGGGCCATAGTCAGAAGGTAGGAGGCGGGCAAGCAGCCCCCTCCAAGAACACGTGGTGAGGTCTGTTTCGCCACAGACTCATTTGGTCAACTTTTGATATATCCTGTGTAGTATCCATTATAATTGAAAAAAACTGTTTGTTTTATTTCCGGCACAATGATGTTCCAGACCTTATTTGAAAGTATGTCTATAATTTTATTTTGTATTTTAGGACTTAAGTATTTTATGGATTTTTGGGGTAACTGGAGGAGTTGCTTTAGAATAGGGTAATACTCCGTGAGCAGCTCTATAATGGAGAGAAAACGCCCATTGTTTATCTCGCCCACTCTATGACCGCGGAAGGCAAGATTAGCCATTGACATTATCAATGTTACATTAACAGCCCTATGTAATACTTGTCTCCAATAGTTTTTTTCCTGTCTTTGCTTTTCATTTCCCTCATCGATTGTTTTGCTCTTCCTCCACTGTTCATATACTACAAATGCTTCTGTATGAGTTTGGGAAGACTCATGTACCTAACTTCTGGCAAAAAGTCTTTGTCATTTCTGGATTCCTTTTGCCCATGCAGGTTCAAATCCTGCCTTTTTACGGTTCCCAAACAGCCAGCGTGGTTCAAAATATGAAACATTCAGTTTAGGTGAGTAGCATAGCCACATCACATCACATCAATTTGTTCATAATAGCTTTCAGAAAAGCACCTTCTCTCTTGATCTCGTGGAAAAGGTCCTGGATGTCGGCACGGCCATGAGCTATTATAGGTGAATCCATTATTGTGATAGGGTAATGTCCCCTATCAGTTACATGTTTCTCTCCAAGAAGACTACTTTCTATAGCACTAATGGAAGCCTCTGTAGATGTCAACAATTCAAAATCAACACCTGATTTGGTGCTTTCTGATGACTGCACTATTTCTTTAGTTGGTAGACTTGTGCTACTGCCTTCATCAGGATTATCATCGCCTGCTATATCTAAAGAACTAAAGTAAGTGCACTTGCTGATTTCCACCTCTGTGACATCAACAGCCCTTTCCACAGACATTTCACTTTCAGTGTTACTCGGTACAGAAGGAACACTAGCAGTCGTTGGAGTGGAAAAGTAGCTGCTTATTTTGGGAAATTTCGCAATTCTCAAATTCTCTTCCCTTTTCTGTTTACGTTTCTGAACACCACTCTTATGTTGATAGGATGACATACCTGGAAAAACTAGTTTTCTGTAAATAAAGTTAAAAAAACTTAACTTTTACATGCTAATTATTCTTATAATTCCACCATATACTGCAGCCCTGAATATGCGTCCCCACTCCTCCATGTGTCTCTCCAACCTCCCCTCATGTACCTGCTCACCTCTTTGTAGCATGGTTGAGCAGCCTGATGTACGTGGTCTTAAAGGAAGTGATTGTTGCTCTCAGTGAGCACTTCCTGTCAGACCACAGTCTAAGTGGCCAAGCTACATGCAGTGACTGGCACTGGGAGCATTGTGCCGTGTGGTCCCCTCCTGTCGGTCACCCGGCGACTACTCACCTGGGCTGTTGCGGCTGTGCACCGGCCCTGAAGTTATGCAGGCCTACTGGGATTTCCCGTGCCAGTCTGGCCCTGTGTATCAGCAAGGGTCGACAGGGCAGAGACTGTGGTAGTTCCATTACTGTGTACAGATACATACACTGACATAAACATACTGACCCACATGCACAGATGCATACATTGACACTGTCTAAAACTCTCATTATACTTGGCCATTATAGGTACCAATTTGGCCAGCTGAGTTACACACATAGCTATGACCAAAGTGCAGCCTCAAAGACTTATAAATTAAACACTGAATTTTAGTACATTAAATGTCATTTGCAAATTGAAGATGGAATAAGCATGTGACTAGATTTAAGTTGGAGATTTTTTCCTAAGATGCTACTTTTGCCTAAATTTTGCAATTCTGATTTAATACGCTAACAGAGTTAGCAAGAAGTGTCAGGAATTCAAAATACATTTCAAATGTAATGCCACAAAAGCTGGAACATTTCGCCAAGTCAGGTATGGCCTTTAATTTAAAATACATTTTGAATTCAGCAATTCTAATTTCTGTGAATAACCCTGTTACATACAGAGTTTAGTAATTAACTGTAAGGTAGTTGTAAATAACATATGTAGCGACATGTAACATATAAATCGCCAGCAAATGTGGGCAGAAACTCCTACTATGCCCAGCCATACAACAGATATTGGCATCATTCTGTGAGAAACACAAGCAGGAATGCAGTGAATGCGAGCTTTTAAGTACTATTGGTGATATATTTCCACTCCTTTTTGTGATATATCCCATGCTATGATTCTCATTTGAGTGTTTCCTGTATTTGAAATAGCTATGAACTGAGGACAGAAGGTGGATTTAAATACTACTGTGTCCAGAGCACCAATCTCTCCTTAAAGGACATACATAATCTATAGTTATGGCCAGCCATAGCAACATTAAACTGGCTTAATTAGTGGATTTAGAGGTTTCTTGTGGTCTTAATGTGTGTAGAATAAAAATTTCAAATATAAAAAGATTGGTACAATTGTATTAAAATTAATCAGGAATGAATACAATTAAAATTAGAAAGAGAGCAGCATCAAAACACCAACAAGCGACTAAATAGAGTTATTAACTCACAATAAACATAAGGTGTGTGCGCTCCCCAAAAATCTCAAACTAAGAAATTAAATATATAGATATAAATCTTTTAATAAACATCCAAAAATAAAAATAAAATACAATAAATGTATTTGTATTTTATTTTTGGATGTTTATTAAAAGATTTATATCTATATGTGTGTAGAATAGACTACTTGTGGTGCTATGTGCATGTGGGGTTGAACTTACATAGTTACATAGTTACATAGCTGAAAAGAGACTTGCGTCCATCAAGTTCAGCCTTCCTCACATTTGTTTTTTGCTGTTGATACAAAAGAAGGCAAAAAAACCCAGTTTGAAGCACAATTTTGCAACAAGCTAGGAAAAAAATTCCTTCTTGACCCCAGAATGGCAGTCAGATTTATCCTTGGATCAAGCAGTTATTACCCTACATTGAAAGATTATATCCTTGAATATTCTGTTCTTGCAAGTATGCATCTAGTAGCCGTTTAAACATCTGTATGGAATCTGATAAAACCACTTCCTCAGGCAGAGAATTCCACATCCTGATTGTTCTTACAGTAAAAAAACCTTTCCTTTGCCTTAGACGAAATCTTCTTTCTTCCAGTCTAAACTCATGTGTGTGTGTGTGTAGATGTGGTTGTTCACATAGGTGTGCATAGGTGGTGTGGGGAATGGAGCTTTAGTTTATTTGTGGATATAAATTATATTGTGTGTAGAGGGGATAGAGAATATAGTGTGTGTGCTACACACAGGAGGGGAATAGCTGGACACAGGAGGGAAGGGTGGAAGGGGGCTGCACACAGTAGTGGTAAGGGGTTGCACAGAGGGGAGAGGGGCTTGTACAAAGTGGAAGGGGCAGCACATAGGGAGGGAAGGGAATGCACACAGGGTGGGGAAGGGGCTGTAGTGCTGCACACAGGTGGGAAATAGCTGCACAGAGGGGAGAAGGGGCAGCACAGAGGCAGTGGAAGGGCTGCAGTGCCGCATACAGGGTAGAAGGGGCTGCACAGAGAGGAGAAGGAGGCTGCATAGAGGGGTAGAGGATTGCACACAGGAGGGAGGAGGTTGCAAAGAGGGGAGAGGGGCTTGCACAGAGGGGGTATGGAGCAACACACATGAGTGGCAAGGTGCTCACTGTGGTGGAGGGTAAGGGACTGTACCAATAATAAGCAATAATACATTTATTTGTTGTCCCCCTTCCCTTTGGCATACCTTGGGCCAGAGAGGGGAGGCAATGACCCGGACCCTGGGGGGACTTTGCAAGATGCACCACTAGCGATACAGAAAGTATTGCCATGACCCACGCTCTGTTACTTCATGCTGGTGGCAATGCAGACGGGTTGTTGGATGGAGGTAAGGGAGATCCGTTTTTCCTGTCCACTGCGGGCCCCTTCAGTACCGAGCGAGAGGAGAGGTTTCCTGCCTTGGTGCCAGCCCCACCCTCAGGGTCCCTTCCAGGCCATCCCCCAGGCACCACATGCCCCGCCCCCAGTTAAGAGAAGGCAGACGGCAGCATTCCAAGCCTGGCCTGAGAATATTTCCAAACCAGATGAAGATCTTCTGCTTTTATGTGTGTTACTAGCTTCTACCTGCGTAGCTGCTTGAATACTTGATCCAAATTATCTTGGAACCAAGATAGAAAAGACTTCATGTCTTTCTGCTTGGATTTTTTCACTCTCAGCCAAACATAAATTATAGACTTTCCTCTTATATCCATCCGGAAGAGGAGTAGAGCATTCACTGCACCATACATTTTTTGCCTTAGTAGTAGCTTTCCTAGGTGCAGGTGCAGGAGTTCTGTCTTTTTCCATTGTATCAGGAGAAATAGGAATAGACATTCTAAATGAGAAATTTTACTTGGAAATTCAACAGCGCTAGAAATTCAAATTTAGCGCCAAAATGTGAAGTTCCGACACCAGCATGCATAGTGGCATGGTCATAACTTTGGTGGAACGCAAAACCTCTTGGCGTACATTCCAAAGCTGTGCGCAAGCGCAAGGCCTGTAATGTGATAGGCGCGCCACTTTGACCGCCAAAACAGGATTGCCGGGACCATCCTTGGCATAAAGGAGCCTACCACCACTTGCTCCGGAACTCCCACAGGAGACGAAGCAGGGTCACTCAGCATACCACCGGGGCAGCTATCGGACCATTTCCCCCTGACCACATCCAGTGTGCATCACCATTCCTTGACAGACTACATGTCTGTCTTGTGCTGTGACAAGAAGAACTAGTTAGTAGTGTATCATGGGGAATATAAGGGGAGAGTGGGAGGAGCAAAGTGAAATCATTTTAATATTTTACAGGCTACGTGTCCCAGCATATGGAAGTACAACCGATCTGTGTACTGCCACCATATTCTAGGAAACAAATCTATAGTTGCCATACCAATGTTTACTGTAGAATCGAGCATCACTTGCAACTGGTCTATCACGTCCAAGAACCCTCAAACAGCCACACAGATTCTGTGCTTGTTCCTGTTGTCTTGGTATATCAATTTTAATAACAATAATATGTCAAGTTCCGTTTTATTTTATTTTATTTTGTTGTGCATTTGTCCTGTTTTTGAGCAACTGTACCTTACATCGACATGAATACTGCTATAGCCAAGCAAACAATCAACCATGTCAATGGAATACTTGCATGAAAGAAAAATGCGTTGACAGATTAGCAAACAACTAGGCCCAACAATATAAAGTCTTGGGATATGTTCATAAATTGAAGGGCAAATATGATGATTGAACATGCTGAAGAAACATTATGAAGGTATATGCTATTTGTATTGTTAGACACTAACATGCCTATGCTATTGAGCTACTCAACGTGATGTTTTGCTATACTTTCCAAAGCTGTTAATTTCTGTCAATTGTCTGTAACATGACATGTGCACATTGCTCAATAAAAATATAACAAATAAAAAAAGAATAAATGTGAGTTGACTCACATTATGCACTAAATCTGAAAGTCACAAATTTGAATAAATAATCTAGGACCACCTAGTGGCATTCAAGTATTGTTCATAATTACCTTGAATGTAGTCTGGATTTCAGCTTGTTTAGATGTAACAGCATGTTGGGTGGGTTTTGTTGAGCCCATATACTTTTTTTTATTAATTTTTTTTAACATGTTTAGTAGGAAATGACTTTCTCCCATAAATATGAAATTACAAACCAAATTAAATTCAGTTATTTTAACCAAATGTTGGCCATCTGGACAAAATTGAGTGGTAATTATGTGACACTGTTGCACATAGAAGGCTTATCAATAAAGGCTTATTATAGAAGGCTTATCAATAAACTGCAATCTTTAAGTTTGGATTCAAATATTGTTGAATGGGTAAGGCAGTGGCTTAGTAACAGGCAACAGAGGGTTGTAGTTAATGGAATATATTCGAAGCTTGGACTTGTCACCAGTGGGGTACCTCAGGGATCTGTACTTGGACCCATTCTCTTTTAATATTTTTATTAGTGATATTGCAGAAGGTCTTGATGGTAAGGTATGTCTTTTTGCTGATGATACTAAGATATGTAACAGGGTTGATGTTCCAGGAGGGATAAGCC